CCCAAACTGGATATTTCTGATCAGGGCACTACCCTGGTTGTCAAACTCTGCAATGCGTAAGAAAATCCACCTTTAATGCAAATTTAACAGACAGAGGCCCACTGGTGTAAAAATCGCACTTATTCACACACATTGGCGTCAAAAAAAACTCCCGAATGCGACAGTGATGAGGGTGGTCGGGGCTTGCTGAAAAAAACACTTGCTTTTGCATTGATCACCTATTTAACAGCTGTGCCAAAGTATTGAGGAAAACGGAAATATTTTGAATGGATATTAGTCACAATATGCAGGACTTCACGCAAGCGCAATTTCCATTGTCTAATGGCACTAGGGTTAGGTTACAGGATTTTGCATTCGAGATCGATTTTGAACAGGCTGGCATTGGTCGCTAGCTGGTCAATTACTGGCGAACCTAGCAGGCTGGGGCAGTTCTGAGATTCGTCATCGATGTGGCTGGTACATCCCTCCACGTTGTGCACTGGACCCACCGGCCGCCCCAGCACGAGGGTACGTCACCGTCTGCGCGCGCACACCCACCCTCACGTCTGCCAATGCGATTGTCCAGTGCCCCATCCGTCGGAATCGCCTGTCATGTCGCGGCGACGCTGGGCCGTTGAGATCCGAACCAAGTTCAGACACGTGTTTTCATTTTCTAGCAATCCGAAAAAAAATCTCTTTTATGTTAACCAAATGGGGGAAGTGAAATAATAGTGGCACTGTCCTGTTGCAGGAAAAGTTCGTCCAATCAAACAGCCTGCGTGTCAGTGCCGAACAATGCATACAGTTGCTTGGCTTGGAGTTAATTTGACATGATGTGCGCCGTACGCCACTGGCGCCACGGCGCTGCAGCTAGCGCCGAGAGTGAGAGTCAGTGACATTTCCGCGCTCGCACGCGAGACACCTCCGTGTAATACGCATCGAAACCGGACAACAGTCAAACCTGTGTACAACTGTATCGCATGGTGCTGAAAACTGAGTGAACACGCTATCAGCTGTTGCTAAGACATCAGCTGCCGGAACGGGCAACGGCTGGCCCGGGGCGCACGTGAAACTTGTGACATCAGATGTTGCATGCGTCAATAGCTCAACATTTCAGATCGTTTTCAGGACGGGGCAAAGCAAGTAACACACCGCTAACTTTGGACGACTTCTTGGACATTGCGTGTGAACGACTGGCCGGCCGATTTCAAACCAGTTGGAGAAATGGAGCCTACCTGTTGCCTCGCTAACCCATGAGCTGCTGGTTTGGCTAACCGCCAGCCGCCAGTCTGTGGGCGAGCGTTGGCGCAGGCCGCCGCCCCTTCCCCCCACCCCGTCGCTGCGGGCGCCCACTGACCGTGACCGTCTGGCCCTGGCCGACAGTGGTGGCCGCCTGGCCACCCTCCGTCCGGGTGGCCGCCTTGAACTGCTCCAGGTCGCGGCGCGTCCACATGCGAGGCAGCTCGAGCCGCGGCGGCTCCTCTGTGCACGCAGGCACACGGTCACACGCCGGCCAGGCGGGCGGCGTCCGTGGCGCCTGCTCCGGCGGCACCACGACAGCCAGGACACCGCGCAGGCCGACAGAGCCGTTCAGTCAGACTCTCCTGGCTTTGCCAGGGACCTACATCCTGAAGGTCAATGCCTGAACAATAGTGATGAGAATTAATAACAAATCAAACCCCTGTTTATGACGCGTTCATTGATATGCGACACGAAACCGTCCCCCCCCCCCCCCCCCATCGGTCGATACGCCTTCCGATACGCATGCACAGCTTAAACACGCTGCAGACTGCTGTCACCGAACCCGATGTCCTCGTTATCCCGCCTTCTCCCGGAATCGGCGTCCAGATGCCGGGCCTCACCATACGCCGACGCGACGGGTACGGATGATAAGGCGGCCTGCTGGCGGCCGTGAGGACCGGTCTCTGCCTGCTCGGGCGGCGCTCCGGGACAGCAGACCTCCGCCCCACCTTGCGCCTGCCCGCCGGACGTCCCGCCTGCCCCGAGACCGGAGGACATGAGACCGGGCCCACCGCCGGCCGGCCGGCAAGCCGACAGCTGGCTGGCCGGCACCGGCGGCGGCAGGGCGCAATGGCCTCACGCGCACCAGACGCGGCGAGCGCTGATGTAACCCAGGACGCAGCCACACGTGTCACGCCAGCACGCGCCTGCTTGTGCAGCCAATGACCTTCGGGATCCCAGTCTCAGTGAGGGGAGGGGGGGGGGGGGGGGGGCACACGGTGGTCCAACCGTACGACATACTGAGACGTGGCGCACGAGGCCGGGAGGTCGCTGCTTGACCCGCGTCAGGGCACATGGCTACAACGAGCGACGGACGCGGACTACTATGCCGCCCGACGCGCCTCTCCGGACACATATAAGATGGGCAGCGCTAAGCACTGGTTCGGCGCCACCAACGTTTGTTCAGCTGACCGCGTCACAATACGCTCTCATTTGGAACTAAAAGATCTCCATGGCAGTCTTTCTCCCCCGTCTCCCTCGCGTGGAACAATGAAATAAAGAGATGCCACACGTCATCTGCACGAGAAGGACGCCTTCTTGCTTGCCCCACCGGAATGTGCACGGGTCGGTCAGGCGACCGGTACGCACCTGCCTGGCTGACGTCGGCTGAACAGTTGGGCGGACTGATGGTCGGGCTGAACTGCTGTTGCTGTTGCTGCTGTTGCTGCTGCTGCTGCTGTTGCTGTTGCTGTTGCTGTGGTTGTTGCTGTTGCTGCTGCTGCCGCTGCAGCTGCTGTTGATACAGCTGCTGCATGTACTGCTGGTAGTGCTGCTCCTGCAGCTGCCGGATCAGCACCGCTTGCTGGACGGCAGGGAGGGGTCGCACTGGCTGAGCGGGCGCCAGCAAGGAGAAAGGGGGGGGGGGGGGGCGACGACGAACAGGCTGAGTGGGTACAGTGAGACTACACGCTACAGCACCACCGAAAGACGTTTGCGGTAACCCCCCTCCCCCCTTTCCCACCATTTTTCCAACAGGCCAGAGCCATCCAGCACGCTGACATGCTAAAAAAGCCCGTATAAGTATAATGACAGACGGAATGCCGTCTGCAGAACACAGCCATCGCCCCTCGAACAGCACAAAAAAACGACCATGTGCATTGCAAGACCCTATACATACACTGTAGACGTACACTATATATATATATATATATATATATATATATATATACATATATATATATATATATATATATATATATATATATGCATGTACTTGGCAGCATGCTTTCATTAATGCAAGTCTTGTCCTATGCAAGGACATCTATGTATCTAATCAGTTTCTTGTGCGTTTGCTCAATTGCTCGAATTAAATCCGAAAAATATTCCGCTGCCTTCGGTGTCGTACATCAGTTCGCCTATAATCACTTAAATCAATTAAAGGTAGCTAACGTTGTAAGGATGTTCGTTCCCCATCCTCAAAGCAATGGAAGACAGTCGGGCGGAGAACATTTGAGCATAGTAAAATACGAAGCATGCCCCACGAGACAATCATTGGAGAGTCATCAGTCAGCAGACTACACATACGAATATGACATCTTGGTTGCCATCTTGTGACATCATATTCTTCACATCGATGTAGATGCGAGTGACGCATTTTTTGTCATGAGACTACTGATGCTGGCAAAAGATATGATGGCGGCAAGCGAATGCCCAGAGCGTTACCGCACGGCCGTCATCCGTTCGTTTGCGAGACGCGCTCCAAAATATTGCTCCAGCTGGTCTGGCACGCACCACGAACTTGAATGGTGCAGGCAATGGCTCATCAATAATGGTTACTCGAACAGCGCGATTGACGGAGATATTAAGTCTATCTTGAGTCGGCGAAGCCAGAAATCGCAGGGCAAGAAACGGGCCCATTAACTTTTTCTCGAACTAAAATGTCTCCGCCATACAAGGTGGACGAAAACATTTTGCAAAACATCGTGAGGACCAATATCACGACTAGCGAAGACGATGAAGTACAACTTTCCATCTGCTACAAGAGCAAGACAACCAGCAGTCTTGTAATGAAACACGGCCTCATAACAGACTAAAGCCAACTGAAGCGCACTAACATAGTGTATAAATTTCGATAACACTACGGGGCCTGTCGGCTCCGCAACTCGACCTATATTGGAATGACTGCACCTCTTTCACGACGCATGACAATACACCTACAGGAGGGAGTACCAGACCAACATATGCGCAAAACCCACAATAAAAACTCCTACGGTTTGACTTGACTGAAAACACCCGAACTCTAATTTCATGTCCAAACAAACGCTTCTTACGAGCTCTTGAAGTCATCCTCATTGGAAAAAGAGCGCCTGACTTAAATAAACAGCTAGGTCATGCATCCCTTTGGACTTGTTCAGTCACCCAATGGCAGCAAGGTGATACGGTGCTTTTAACTTTCCAGTGTCAGGCTGGGTCGAAATGTGTTGTGCATGCGTTCGCGTGTTTTGTAATTTGACCAGACCCTTGGATACATGATCTGCTGACTGATGACTCTCCAATGATCATGTCTCGTAGGGTGTACCTCGTATTTCACTACCTTCAAATATTTCCCGTCCGACTGTAATGGGGAACGCATGCCCTTTAAAGCCAGCTTTAGCCAGCTTCAACTAATATAAATGCCTACAGGCGGACTGATTTATGGTTTACCAAAAACAACGAAACGTTTCCTTCCCGAAATTGAGCAAACGCGCAGGAAACTGACCAAATGTACATTTGCCCTTGCATATAAAAACATGCATGACATATATATATATAATATATCATATATATATATAATGATATATTAATATATATGATATATTATATATATATATAATATATCATTATATATATATATATATATATATATATATATATAATGGCTGCGTATTTTGCGAACGTGCGATCGGTTTTAGAATATTGTAGCGTGGTTTGGACGGGGGCAGCCAACTCCCCGAGGGCCGGTTGTTCGGGTGCAGCACAAGTTTCTTGTTTGGTTACTTATTCACACATTCTACGGGCAATAAACTTTTCTTCCTAATGGCGGCCTTCTGCTCCATTTCACAAACCAATCCCTGGCAGCACGAAGAGTGCAGCAAGATTTAGTCTTTCTGAGAAGCATCTTCGAAGGTAAACTGGACCCTCAAATCTTGCTTCACTGTTTCCTCTTACTTGTGCTCAAACTCTGCTCGCTGTACCTCGCGCAGAGTGTGCCCGCTCGGACAGTCCAGAGCGGTCCGTTTTGCAGACTGTCAAGCGTTGGGAACACTTGTTTTGGCTAGCAGCACTAACGCCGACATCTTTCATGACAATTTTGTCATTTTCAGAGTTCACGTGATCAAGTATGCTTTAACTCTGTGGCGTCTCCACTTAGCGTTGAGATATATCAACCTTTAACTATGTTCGTGCTAGTGTTGTTTGTTGTTGATTGGAGTTTTAGGGCGCGCCGACTACTGTGGCCATTTTGCGCCCATAACAGCCTTCATGCTAGTGTGCGCTGTGTACTGTGCACTCGTTGTATCATATTTAAACGCCTCCGCCTGTTAGTGGAGTGCTGCTCTGTTGGCGATTAAAAAATAACATAAGCAAGCAAGCACCTGCATGCGTATGTATACCACAGCCTGGAAGAATACAAACTACCAAGATTGACGGATCCCGAACCAGTCGCCCCCCCCTCCCCCCCCCCCCCCCCACCTCCAAACATGCAATAAAACAGCCGAATCTGAAAACACGGCTGGCGCCAAAGGCATAAACACTGATCCTGTTTGTATAAACAAAAACAAAAAATCTGTCCAGCACTCGCCTTCTGGTCTTAACGTTCGGATAAACTATAAACAGATGCAATGACCTGATGTTTTGTGTCATGGCGACGCCATTAGGACGGACAACTATCACAACGGGGCAAAGCCGACTTACCCCGCCCGACTGGCGTTGATCGAGCACGGTATCGGCACGGACTATGGCATGATACGTTCCACGCTGATAAATATGTGGGGGTCCCTGTTCCTGTCCACTGTCCCTGTCCCTGTCCACCTCACCTGCTCCGCACTGCCGGGATACTGACGGTCCCTGTCCACCTCGCCTGATCCGGGTTGCCGGGGTATTGCCGGTCCCTGTCCACCTCACCTGCTCCGGGTGGCTAGGGTATTGCCAGTCCCTGTCCACCTCACCTGCTCCGGGTTGCCGGGGTACTGTCAGTCCCTGTCCACCTCACCTGCTCCGCACTGCCGGGATACTGACGGTCCCTGTCCACCTCGCCTGATCCGGGTTGCCGGGGTATTGCCGGTCCCCTGTCCACCTCACCTGCTCCGGGTGGCTAGGGTATTGCCAGTCCCTGTCCACCTCACCTGCTCCGGGTTGCCGGGGTACTGTCAGTCCCTGTCCACCTCACCTGCTCCGGGTTGCCGGGGTACTGCCAGTCCCTGTCAACCTCACCTGCTCCGTGTTGCCGGGGTACTGCCGGTCCCTGTCCACCTCACCTGCTCCGGGTTGCCGGGGTACTTCCGGTCCCTGTCCACCTCACCTGCTCCGGGTCGCCGGGGTACTGCCGGTCCCTGTCCACCTCACCTGCTCCGGGTCGCCGGGGTACTGCCGGTCCCTGTCCACCTCACCTGCTCCGGGTTGCCGGGGTACTGCCGGTCTCTGTCCACCTCACCTGCTCCGGGTCGCCGGGGTACTGCCGGTCCCTGTCCACCTCACCTGCTCCGGGTTGCCGGGGTATTGCTGGTCGGCGTAGGAGCGGAACTGCGAGTACGTTTGCCGATTGAGCGCGTCCTGGATGTGCCGCCTGCAGGTCACGTCGACAGGAAATGCGCCTCAGCATTGACGGACATTATATCACCATCCAGGTCAGCATGCTTGGCGCCAGAAATCGGTTACAGTTTAGTGTCGTTCAGTCTCCGCTCCATCCCGTTTCAGTCACGGCAAAAAACTGATCGCTGTCGATCTCACGAATACGTATTCTTTGTCACAACCATGATTTAGTTTTATATCGCGGTTCAGTTGAAAACATTGATTCTCCTATTGTTTCCAGTGCGTTGCATAAATCGTCTGCTAGAATGAAGTTGGATCAGTGGCCTTGCCGGGCGTGGCTTGCTTCGAGCACGCTGACGTTGCCTAACAGAAGTAGTCCCAACACAGGCAATTCGTCTTGCTGGTTAACCAAATGGGTAGTCAAATGCTTTAAACAGGGCGATCCCTACCATACCATGACACGGACGAACGCCATTGCGGGGACGACCGGGAGGTTGTGTCGCCTTCCGCTTTTTAACGGCGGCACACATTCGTCTAGGATGTGGCTAATAAACACTACCACCATATGCCTCATCCTCCGTCTGCGGAGCACTGACCTGGTGTCGGTCCACCTGTTCGGCCCCTGTTCTCTCCGTCTGTGTAATACTGACCTGGTGTCGGCCTGCCTGCTGAGCTCCTGTTTCCTCCGTCTGTGGAACACTGACCTGGTGTCGGCCTGCCTGCTGAGCCCCTGTTCCCTCCGTCTGCGGAACACTGACCTGGTGTCGGCCTGCCTGCTGAGCCCCTGTTCCCTCCGTCTGTGGAACACTGACCTAGTGTCGGCCTGCCTGCTGAGCCCCTGTTCCCTCCGTCTGCGGAGCACTGGCCTGATGCGGAGCACTGGCCTGATGTCAGTCTGCCTGCTGAGCCCCTGTTCCCTCCGTCTGCGGAACACTGACCTGGTGTCGGCCTGCCTGCTAAGCTCCTGTTCTCGCTGTCTGCGGAACACTGACCTGGTGTCGGCCTGCCTGCTAAGCCCCTGTTCCCTCCGTCTGCGGAACACTGACCTGGTGTCGGCCTGCCTGCTAAGCTCCTGTTCTCGCTGTCTGCGCGCCATCTCCTCCAGCAGAAGCCGACCCTGACGCAGCTCCTCCGCCTCCCGCTCGGCCTCGCTGTAGCGTACATACGACAAACGGAACAAGGTGATCATGTGGCCAAACAAATGCACATGAAAACAGCTGCAGCACGCAGCAAACAACAGTAGAAATATCTGCCGCGCTGTCGTCCTGACTTGCGTAACAGCAATAAAGCAGCCACTCAGCAGTGCAGCGTGGCGGCGTTTTGCGTCAAACCTCCCCTCCCAGGCAGTGGTGTGGGAGCCCGGTCGTGTGCTATGTGTGTGGTCACGCACGCGGCCGCTCACCGCTTGTGCCGCTGCGCCTCTAGGTCGCGCCGGTGCGCTTCGGCGAACGAACGGAAGATGGGGCAAACGCCGTCCAACAGCTCCACGTAGCGGTTCATGGCCGTTGACGCGTCCATGTCGGTCAGCTCCTCCCACGCCCGCCTGCCGGCACCGACAAGGGGCGTGACGGGGTGCGGCGACGGATACCCGGCACGGAGACGCGGTGACCGCGGCGGGTTTGCAGACCGTGTATGTTGCAGACGCTGTGTCGCAGAGGGATCGAGACCTTGCTAGGTGCTTTTTGTCGGCTTTCGGGACATACCTACAGCCCTGGAGATATCTTGCGATGGGACAGCATGCACCTACAGCCCTACCTGGTTAACGCATACGTCCTACCTCGTTATGTCATATTTGTGCACTGTCGTCATGAGCAAACACGAATCAATCTAGTCCCATTTGCGCACCGCAGGCTGCGCCAACTGTCGACCCATTTAAAACATCACAGTTTCTCACATCGACACAACCGCCGACAAACGCGTCAGCACAATCCGAGGATTTTCCAACAGTGACCATGACATCATGCGGTACGCGGCTGGTTTGTGTCTGTTCATGGTGATAACTTATCACAGTACATCCTCTTCGATTGCAACAGTGTCCAATAGGTCTGAAATCTCAGGTCTCGGGCCACATAAATAGTGGTTAGCGTCCAGCCGCAATTCGTGGCAGTATGTTGTTAACCTAACAAAGTCACAGCCACACTCGCACAGTGTATGCTACAGTAAGGACCGTCTGCAGTCTGGAATGCTTCTCCGACGACTATGCATCACGCAAGTGTCGTTATCCGTCAGAGTGGCTGGCGCGCTTCGCCACCGTTAGACTGGGCCCCACGTGAGCACCCGGTGAGTTCGCGGTCGCGCGGCGGTGACCCGGCTGCCTCACCTGCGGTCGCGTCCGATGACGTCCAGCACGCCCAGCGGCGGCAGGCGCTGCGCCAGGTAGGGGCCGTGCGCCACCAGCTGACTCAGCGCCGCAAATTGCACACGCACCGCGTAGCTCAGCTGAACTGCCTTACCCTCCTTCTCTAGAACGGTTCACACAGAAACATGCTGACAACGGGCAAGCATTAACACTTACGTATGCAAGTGTTCATGCATCGTTTCCAGCCGCTCGCCTGGCAACCACAACAAAAAGGCGGCAATCACGCGCTCAGAGTTGGACTGGTGGCCATCTGACGTCTAACCCATGCCCACCTGGAAGCATCCACTATTTTACCCGAATCACGCAAACACCCACCATTGCGCGTACATGGCGCATACACTGAGTAATGAACAGGCAATGTAGGGGCGCTGATCTCAGGGAAAGGTGGGGGTCATTAACACCGTCATTAGCTCAAATAACGCACAAAAGGCCTAGCCGGGTGTTTCCTAACGTCGTTAAAACATTCAGCATCTCCTCCCTTAAGCATTCAGTTCATACCTGCCGCTGTCGCCCATTAACGTAATTTAAAGTAAACAATTTGGGTTTTATGCTTGATGAGGATACCATCTATTTCGGACACATAACAACGTTATGCGGGGACGTACCGGCATGCTCTGTGGCTTCAACCACCGCACGCATCCACGCTCTCCGGCGAGCCGGAATCAAAGCCGCACAGATTACTGATTGTTGGGAAGTGAGCAATGCATCACTAGATTCACTGCAGTTCAGCAATTTTGAATTGAATACAAGTATTGAATTTAAATGTAAGTGGACAAAGCAGTCCATTCGGGAAATTGATAGACAGTAGGCTGCAAAGGCATGCAAAACCGCGGACCAATCTGAACAGTCCCTTAAGACAAATACTAATCAATGGTGTTCAAAAAGGAGTCACGTCATCCAGCTCATTTCACCGCTCTTAACTACTGTGTAACTGGAACCACAATGTTTACGTGGGTAGCAGAGAACAAAACCAAATCACATGTGAAAACAGCTAGTAAGACTGGACCACACCTTATGCCATGGCTCTTAGTCACATGAAGATAAACAAGGAAGTCTGCATTCACATACCTACAATTTATCTTGCAGCATCTAACATATTGCCTTCAGGTGGGGGAAGGAGGTGGCATCAGGACCACAAGCTTATGCATGCCACCTTTACACTGTGCTCCAACATCAGCCAGACACTACACCTTCCTGATAATTACCACAGGACTGGTGCTCCTGCACTAAATGTACAGCACACAGATGCTCTGTGTGTACAGCACTTCAGCCTGAAGTACAGGCATGACTGTGCCAACAAGATGAGAATGTGGTGCCAATCAAACTCACCTTTGTAGAATTTGATTGCCAGCTGATAAAGTTGTGGCAGTTTGAAGCCCCATTTTTCAGTGACAACAGCATTTTTGCTTTGACAAGCTGCACTCTCTCGGGACTGAACGTCTCCAGCCCCCTCTCGTGCAGTGTTCCCAGCTGTCCCCATGGTGCAGCTTGGGCTAATGCCTGGGAAAGCAGCGGGGTGTGTTCTTTTTGTTTCTTGATGGTGGAGCACTTTTTAGAATCATAATTTTAACATCATCAAAGCTACAGCATACAAAGCTAGTTTAGTATGCAGACATGGAAGATTATTTTTAACTGAGGCCAAATATAATGGCAATCCAACCATGTAATGGAATCCAAGTGGTAATGTTACTTTTTGTAAGTGGTTAATGTCACTCTTGTAAGCTTAAGTTCACCATCACCATGAGAGATCTTGTGAGGCTCATAAGAGCACCTTGGGCCTTAACTCATCAAAGTTGAGAAATTGTGACAACCATTTGCAAGAAGTGTTCATGCAGCTGGCATGCTCATTAGCCAACAACTTCTATACATGATGTAAACAAAAATGACAGAAACAAGTTCCAAAATGACCTGAGCTTGACCCAGCCTGATTTTAGATACTGATCAATGCTAATCTTATGGCACAGTAGCAAAACACAAAACAAATTTTAAGAGATACTTAAGCTCATCAAAGATGTGATAGAACACATTACAATTATGTGATCAGACTTCTGGTGACTATTCAAAATTGTGATGATTTGACCAATGATTACCTTCCATCATTTCAAGATTGTGAAGCTGTCATGTGAGGCATTTGTTAAGCTGATGGGAATAATAAACTCATGGAGTGCAAAATGTTCTGACCACCAAAAGTGGAAGCATGCTTAAATTACTATTACAATAGAAGTATGCTTCAATTATTAACACAATTAGGACACGGCCAAGTCATGTAGTTTTTTTTCTTGACAGGCTCACCAATAGTTTCTGCCTACATAGTTGCAGGACCCTGTACTTAACATGTCAAAGCAAGGACCGGTGATGTGAAACTGGCTGTGTTCCACTTCCTTTGCTCGCAAAAAGGAAGTACAAGGTACTTTCCACCCAAACTTTCCTTGTTTCCGGATATCAAAAATAAGGGCTCCAACCATACGATTTTCCTGAAAACTTGACATCTTATTCAAAGTATACTGTTTCGAACATCATACCGCCTAAACCGTGAAATTCTCATATGCACTCATATATCCGTAATACCAGCGCCCGCCGCCCGTCCCAGGGCCGCCCAACCAAGGCGTCCGCGCTTAGCAGTACGGATGCGTGTTTAACAATTGCGGCGTGTTTCTCAACTAGCTGTAGCTCGTCCACACACGAGCCAGCTGATGATGACGTTAGCCGTCCGCCGATTGAACTGGGTTTCCTGCTCGAGAAAGCGTTGTCTCAGCAGTAACTCGCAATCAAAGGAAAATTGGGATGCCAAATAGTGTAGGCTTTCCACGGCCAGCAAACGAAAAGAAATTCATGAGATTCACCTCTAAATAGCCTCATTTTCCCTGCTGAGCCTTGGGTTACCGGACTGCGTTGTTCAGTGTCTGTGCGCGCTAAACTCCGCCAGTTTTTGCACGAATCGGTACTAAGCGCGGGTCCCCCCCCCCCCCCCCCCCCCGGTACTAAACACGGATGCAAGGATATCTATGTTACTAAAGGAACAGTGTGTGGGTGTCCACCATTTGAGTTAGATGATCTGCAGACGGTCAGGAAGTTTTCCATGAAATTGCACAGGACCAAGGCTCGCTTGCGGCGCGTGACAGAGTTGCGTCAAAATTCTGCATTTCGCAAAAATGAGCCGGTGCTGAGCGAAACAGGAGCGCAAAAATCCCCGCAAGTTTAACACGGGCGACGCCAATTTAACGATTCCGGTCGACGGCCCTACACACTTCGCTTTCTGGAGCCGTATTTTGACAATCAAGGGTCGCAACGACATGCAACTTGCACAGTACGATAGAGCAGGGAATGGGCCATCGTAATCTGGCCATTTTTTCCGCCACGTGACACCTGGCGCGTGCACACGTATTGACAAGATGAAATCGGCCGTTTTTGACGCGGTTTTAGTTTACCGTTATATCACGGCACGGAAAGATGGTAGAGCTCTTAATTTTGTTTCCTAACATTAACAATTTTCAGCGCGCAACGCGAGTTTGTGCAACGCACCGTTGCGCTGCAAATTGCATTACAAGTTTGCAACGGGCCGACTTTTCAAAACTAAAGCTGAATTCAAGCCGCTACCGTCAAAATTATGCGTGATCTAGCGTTGAAAACTACATCAGCGTGTCGGCCGATTCGCCCCGTTTCTGATTCACTCTTTTGTTGACCGCGTTAAAAAAATGTCGCTCGCAAATGGGCCTAGAGTAAGAAGTTCCTGACGGCATTTCCGCCACGACGGCGTCAATTTACTGCCTCGACTCCCGGCGTAGGCCATAGGCGTTAAGGGTTAAATTGGACGTTCGCGCGGCGGGCTTTCGACTTTGTTCATTTAGCCACGCTTCAGATTAACACGCGCCCGGGTGGCCGGCTATATACCCTTCGCTCGGGTGGGGGTGAGGGGCCAATTCCCCCCCCGCTTTAGATCTCGGGAACTAAAGAAGCTACAGACACCAAATTCACAGGGCGTGTTGACCTGTACGTGAACTCCCTTAGGTCAAAGTTTCAGGTCCTTGCGTCATGACATTCGGGTCAAAAAGGTCAAACAAGGTCAAGTTACAGATTGACCTCCAGAGTGCTCCCAGAACCTAGATAACCGTTTCTAAGCCAAAATTCACATGCTCATGCAAGGTCAGTGACCTTGTTTGACCTTTTTAAGGTCAAGGTAACCAAACTCATGCAAGATTGCTTTGTGTTTTGAATTTGACTAAGCGACAAAGATAACGCTGGGCAGTATGTTCCTAAAACAAAACGTTGAGATGGGTCATTTTAGGTCAATAACCTATTATGACCCCTAAGAAGTCCATGGAACACGTATAATGCGGTTCCTGCTATTAATCAATTTGAAATGAGCACCAGAAACTATCCGATACAGCAAGCCCTAGAGAAGCAAAACAGGGTGGTTTTGACCTTGGTGTGACCTTTATACCTGACCTTATGTCAATGTAATTTGCTCATTCAACTGTAATGTTTCCTAAGAAAGCATCTCAAAGACGTATGGCTTCGTCTAACGCTCCGCTGTTAGATCAGATGAAGAATCCCCTAGAAATTGCCTTCGCTGAAACCATGGCCTGATTTTGACCTGTCATAGGTCAATGACCTTACAAGATACACCTAATTTTTATGTCAAACGATCCGCTATTCAATTGTCCACAGATATGCAAAATTTGGCGCGGCTGCGCCGCGCCGTTTGGAAACCATTCCGGAAACACCTTCGGGGTGGGGGCAAGTTGAGCCCCACGCCCGAGCGCATGTTAAAGAACGAGCACCCAGGCGTGTTTCCAGTCTGTCCTGCAGTGGGCCTCTGTCCTAGGGCCTTGAGTGGGGCGGTGGGCGGGTCGTCGATAGGGGCGATCTCGGCTTAGACAAGGCGGCCGGCAGCGCGCAGTGCCTTGTGGTCGCCGTGCGCGCACAGGCGTGGCTCTTGTTTCCCAACATTTACCATCGACGCGGGTACACTTTCAGGCGCATCGCGAGTTTCTGCAACGCGCCGTTGTGCCGCAAATTACACGACAATTTGTAAGATGCCAAGTTTTAATAACAGAAATGGTACGGCCACACGTATGACACGGCACGGGATCACACATATGGATTTTGCTCTCCTCCACGGATTTGCATCTTTTGTGCCAAAATTCGGCACATATAGCACTAATACACCCGGGATTGGCGTGCTTCAATTATGAATGGGAGAAACGAGATGACAATGTTTGGTGGCACGTGCCACATGTGAGGGCGCCCATGTATTAAAGTATTGATATGCACAATTTTGGTCTTTTGAGGGGCTTGCACGTTTTCATGATATCTCAGAAACCAGAGAATAAAGCGCACAGCGACTGGCATGCTTCGATAGGTGATCTAACGGACAATCACTGAAACATATACGACGTCACACTGCACGTGTAATGTGACATGCGCACATTAGCTGTGAAACTGCATTTTGCCGATTTCGTCCATTTTTACGCTTTGCGCAGGTATCCCGCTCTTATGACACGAAGCAGCACGAGACTCTCAGCACACAGAGCACGGAGGTACTGGGGAGTGGCATGCATTTATAAGAAATCGAATAGATGATGGCGTTGTATAAAGTGGCACATCGCACGCGCTGCATGGATAGATAGGGAATCGAGCAAACAATCACGTGGTATAGATTGTAGCGCCACGTATGCGCGAGCCAGGAAAATTGATTTGGCCGCTACCGACCGTTTTTCGCTCTTCAGTACCATGCAATACTTTTTGATACAACGGCACTGCGTGCTGCCATCGTTCAGAAGACTGACAGTTGATGAAAGGGACAAAAAAGCACCGGCCACACCACCACGATCGTTCGCTCATACCATGGAATAGGTTCGACTGTGATGCGGATAGCGCAGGCGAAATGCGCTCACTCCTGCCGGCAGCCGCCAGAGGCCGCCAGCACCGCGCGCGGCCTGCGGCCGAGTCTTTTTCCACATTTTACGCGATATCTCGTCAACCTGGGCACCTAGAACTGTGATTCCAACTGCTAAAGATACATTATGAAAATTTCCAAATTTTGCACCAGCGCAGCGAGGCAAGCGCGCAGGCGCCTGTACGTACTAACTAGACTCGAGGACGCGTTGGTCGCGGTTGAGCTCCCGTGGAGGTGGGATGGGGCAGCGCATTTGATGACGTCACCAAACAAGGAATGCGTCACTTCTATAAGCCGGTTTAATGTAATAGTTACCTACCCTTAAGCCGGAAGTAAATTTCCTCCCACAGGGGTGACTAGGTCCGTCGAGGAAAAAAGGAGGCCTTGCATTGGCACCATGATTGGGATATAGAAAAGGACGCATCACAAAAAGTGATATTAGGCATTTGTGATGGGCGTTAAGGTGGTGTGTGGGTCCATCTCTGAAACACGAGAATTCGATAATGGTTTCAGCCTGCAACTTCCAGGATGTCTGCTCGCACTGTCCTCAGCGGTGTTAAGCAGTTGATGAATAAGCAGTGACTCGTTTTTGCGCCCGTTTCTTCAACACCTGTTGCCTGGTTACCAAGGCCTCAAAGAGTCAAGATGATGATGTATAAGCTTCTGGATGAAGTTGAGCAGGTAAGAGGGCGAGCATTTGTTCATTCTGCTGAGGAACAGCTAACTAAGCTCAGATTTTGCCAGGGCTTGTGCCTCTAGATAAAATTGTGCCTATCATACTCTGTTTGAAGGCTGCAAAGTTTATGATTAAAGTTCTGGATTTTTTATGACTGAATTATGCAGAAGTCATTAGCCTGCCACTAGTACTGTGTTTAGGTGCACATGATCAAAAATCAGTCTTTTTGAACCAGCTCACAAACTGGCCATGGTGCTTTGCATGGAGCATGGTGCTATGCAGGTTATAAGGTGAATTCATAATAAATGCTTTTTGTCAGTGCACACAGCAAAGTTATGATGGGATGCATCACAGGATATTTGACAAAATGTCACTCATACAATATCTGTATGTGCAGGAGTCTTTCAGTGCAGATGATTTTGTGGAAAGACTGGCTTGGAGGGCAAGTGGTGGAAATCTTTCCACTAAGACAGACAATGAAGACTTCAATCCCCAGATCATCCATGATGCCTTTTCATCTGCCATCAGGTGAGGAAAAATTGACTTTGTGTTGTGCATTATGTATATCAGGTGATCCCAAAATTGTGTTGTGCATTAGGTATTTTATTACTCAAACAACCATGGATATGAGAACCATTATATGCATGCACATCTAAATGTGGCATAGTGCAGTTTATTGATGTTTTCAGGCAGCTGACAGATATACAGAGGAAACAGCAAAGGGAGTGTGATCAGTTGGAAGCTAAGCTGAAAGATGAAGAGGCCAGATATGCCCAGAGAGTTCACAAGCTGATGGATAGAAACAAGGTGAGTCTGAGGAACCAGGAGTGACATGACCACCACCTACAATGCAACTTTCAGTATTGGGGAATTTTCACATCTTAGACTGTGGATGTCCACATGCTGAGTGTAGGGATAAATGCAGCTGCAAGTGGCATATTAATTTCATCCCATCCTTACAGAGCAGCTGGTTAGAGCACCTGCCTTCTAGTCCATCCACCCATGGTGCAATGAGTTTGAGTCACATGATTTACTCACTGTTTGTACCTGACTGAGATGGCCCACAGCTGGTGGGAGTGACCATGCAGATGGTCAGGTGATGTCAGGGCACAGAACATCAAGCATCATAGCTCAAAGTTGTGACACCAAGTTTTACTGTTGACCTTGAATTTTGCAATCTGGCAGGAGGGGTGGGGGCTTACACAACAAGTGCTGCTCAGTGTAAGCTCTGATCCCAGAAAGATCATGAAATGTTTTGGATGAAATCTTAAAGTATGCACACTTAATGACAGTATTGAAAAAAAAAACAATGAAAGGACAGGCTGTTCTTTGGAAATGTATAAGATTTTGTGGTATGACAAGTTCACTTTGTATTTCACTCAGGGTATTCAAGAGCTCAGTATCTCAATCAGCCACCATTTTGTGCATTAAATATGTACCAAGCACACTATGCCTTTTGGTTTCTTTCACTGGCCTGAGCACAAGTACTTGCCATCACACATCCAAACCACATCCCACTTTGTACTGTTGAAAGATTTTGTCTTTCAATTTCAGGATGATTTCAGCATCCTGCACCAGCTGGATGAGAAGATCAGTTTTGTGGCAACCAAGGTGGTGCACCTGGGCGACCAGTTGGAGAGCGTCAACACACCCCGCTCCCGCGACGAGCGTGCCCTCCAGCTCATGCAGCACCTGAACCGGTTCATTGACGCCGAGGCGCCCACCGACCCCCTCTTCGACGACGACGAACAGGTCAGGAGGCTGCCCTGTGGGTGTGCTTCACCTGGTATGCCATGTCAGAATGAACATCAGCTACACTTTACCTGCTGTGAGTGAACATGTGTGTATGGTGTGTGACTTCGATTTACAGAGCGTGAATGTACGTGAGGATGTGTTCAGTAAATGTTCAACCGTCATGTTTCTGTTGCTGCAGATATTCGAGGCTGCCGACGTGATACAGAAGCTTTATCTCATATCGCAGGAGCTGCCATCGGGAAAGTAAGTTTTTTCAAATGTGCGACGTCGCTCACGTGCTGGTTGTCTACCATCGCATCAGGCGGGATGAAAGTACGGAGTGGACATCACGGCCACGCTAGAACTGGACTTGACTGGCCGTGTGGGACTGCCTGGCATCTGCTGGCCCATGCCCGCCGCCGGTCGGCCACGGACCGGGTGACCCCGCCCCGCCGCGGGATGCGCCTGACCCGGTGTCGACGCCAGGTTCGAGGGCGCCCGCCCGCCGGTCGGTCATGGACCGGGTGACCCCGCCCCGCCGCGGGATGCGCCTGACCCGGTGTCGACGCCAGGTTCGAGGGCGCCCGCCCGCCGGTCGGTCACGGACCGGGTGACCCCGCCCCGCCGCGGGATGCGCCTGACCCGGTGTCGACGCCAGGTTTGAGGGCGCCCGGACTCGGATCGGCCAGAAGTACGACGGCGTCGAGCGGCGTCTGATCGAGCGGTTCGTGGCGGCTCAGAAACGAGACGATCGCGACGCCATGAAAGAAGTGGCCTCTGTGCTGTCACAGTTCAAGGGCTACTCGCAGTGCGTGGACGCCTTCATAGAGCAGAGCCAGCAGGTGAGTGTTCAGGGGACATTGGGGCGCTGCACACTGGCCCAGCGTGTATTGTGAGAGGGCTCCAACGCAGCTCCACTGTTCAGTGAAGGACTGGCGATGGCCACTATGTCATCAACAATGGCGGAAGCAATTGGCATTACGTAACACGCCCGCACGCACGTTTGCGCACGTCTTCGGTTTTACCGTCTGTTGTGCATGTTTGTTGTCCACAATCTGATACTGATCGCAAACTGGCCAGGGGGACGTGAAATGTTCCGCCTGCCGTGCATGCAGCCATCCTCGCTGTAGAACAGGTTGGCGCCCCTGGATGTCCGCGTGGCGCTGTAGAACAGGTTGGCGCCCCCTGGATTCCCGTGTGAGACCGTTGACCGAGCGGCCGCCGCTTTCAGGGTGCGTTCGTCAGCCGCGACATATTCCGCGAGATCGTGCCGGTATGTGAAAGGAACGAGCCTATCATCCACTACGTGTTCCACAACCCAGCCCAGGTGATGGGCCGCTTCGTGCTGATCATCTTCCACGGCCGGCTGCAGGAGCACCTGCACCAGGTATGGCCTCCCGTCGGGTCGTCACTAGTTGCCTCGTGGTGGGACCAGCGTCAGCTCTATCAGGGCATCTGATGCTGCGCTCAGTCGTCTCGGCGATTAGATCTGGGTGTATTCAAGCAGCAAAACGCCGGGTGCGTGTACAGACGATTATCCGAAGTCGTAGGGCTGCGATGTTGTGTTTGGAAAGCGCCCGATCAACGTCAAGCGTTGCCTGGCAGTGGTCCTGTGTACCGTGCGCTGGCTTACCCGCTCGCCGCTCCGCTTTAACTCCGCTCTGCGAGCCGTGACGCCGTCCTGTCCCGGGCTCTCCTTTCCGCTCGCCGCTCCGCTTTAACTCCGCTCTGCGAGCCGTGACGCCGTCCTGTCCTGGGCTCGCTTGTCCGCTCGCCACTCCGCTTTAACTCCGCTCTGCGAGCCGTGACGCCGTCCTGTCCTGGGCTCGCTTGTCCGCTCGCCGCTCCGCTTTAACCCCGCTCTGCGAGCCGTGACACCGTCCTGTCCTGGCCCCTTGTCCGCTCGCCGCTCCGCTTTAACTCCGCTCTGCGAGCCGTGACACCGCCCTGTCTCGGCTATGTCATGGCCTCGCGGAATCTGTGGCAGACCCTGGCTGACCAGTCGAACCGGTGCCGCTACCTGGACCAGCTGTGCGACCTGTACTCGCGCACGCAGCACCTCACCAAACAGCTGGCCAAGTTCAACATGGGACACGACAGCTCCTTTCTCAACAAGCTGGCCAAAAAACTCTTCCAGGAGTACATCAGCAGCTACATCAGGTGCGTTGCATGCCTGGATGCATTTAGCTAGGACATTACGAGCGCTGTACGTTTGCCTATTTTCCCCTGAGTTGTGCTTTGGAACCGTGGAAGACACCAGTCTTCCTGTGGATACGAACGCTGTCTTTTGTGTGAGATAATTCGTCGGGCACTGGCTGGCAGACGACCTGCGTAACCGTCATCTGGTCAGTGGAGCTGACCAGCCTGTGATGCTGTCAGTGGTGGCGTCGCTCGTTAAGCCCTTTCCCGTCGTGTGAACTTGCCGTCCGTAACTGGCCAGTCCTGCCCTGACACCGTCCTGTCCTGTATAGCCGTGCTCGAAAACAACGACCCGAATGCCGAGAAAGTGTGTCATCTTTGAGAGAGGCCGTGATGTTACAACATCGTTGCGACCGCGCCTTGGCGGCCCATGGCCCATATATATACTCAAGGCAATGTCCTGAAGCCAGCCACCCCGAAGAGCTCACGCCGTTCCGCTCATGGGATGCCCTCACAGCCGACCCGCGGGCGGTCGCCCTGTGGGAGCCGGGCGGCGCGCTCTCGGAGCCGCGTCACCGCTTCCCCGCCCGGTGCCGGCAGCGTGGAGGTGAAGCAGCTGCGCCAGTGCTGCGCCGACACGCTGGACGAGTACTACACGTCGCAGGGTCACCAGAAGCGCCACCTGTACGGCGGGCTGGGGGAGCTGCGCAGAGAGGCGGCCGCCGTGCTCGGCACCAAGACCAGCATCAACATCGCAGCCGTCGACGACCACGGCGGCCGCACCTTCCTCTCGGAGGAGACCGCCATCAACCTGCTGCAGGTGTGGCTGGCGCCGGGGGCGGGCGCGCCGGTGCCGGCCGTCGCCGCGTCTCTGGGCGGTAACGGCGCAGCGCGCGGCTGGCGCGGTCCGGGCTCAGGTTTACCGTGATACAATATGGTGACCGGCCGCGGCACCCCGTCTCACGCGTCGGAACCGTACCAGCCACGCGTGTCGCGGCGTATTCGCAAGACAGAGGACGACACGGACGAGGCCGGGCGCCGGCACTGCCCAGTGCAGTGACACAGCTGATGCGGGGCGCCAGCGCTCCTCTCAGTCGGCCAGCTGCGAGCGTGTCGAGTCGTCGGACTGGTACGTCACAACGCCGGTCGGCAGCAGACCCATGGCTGCGACGTCCAGACCTGGCTCGCAGCGCGTCGGAGGATGCCGCGGTCCTGGCGGCGTGCCTGTCGTGCGGCCCGTTGTCGATGATGAGGCGTGGCTGGGCCTGACCCGGGCCCGGCCCAGCCCGCCAGCCGGCTCACTGTGTCGCATGTCTGACCAGACGCTACGCCCTCTCGCTAGGAGGCGAAGCGGGCGTTCAAGCGGTGCCAGGTGCTGTCGCGGCCGCAGGAGCTGGCTCAGAACGCGCTGCAGCTGTTTGACATCCTCGCCAGCAGCCTGCTGGTGGAACACATCGACTACGGCATCGAGCTGGCGCTGCAGGTATGGACACGGCGTGCCGCCGCCTGCCGCCCGCAGTGCCGTTCGGGCGCACACCGGCCTGCAACCGACGTTGCGACCGGCGTTTTTACTTGCTGGAGAATCAGGACGTAAGACCTTCCAACGAGCTCAAGCAAACCAAACCATTCCTGTGCTTTGAGTCAAGAATTCGTTGGCGAAGTCGGTAATTGGTTTAGTAAGTTCAGCAATGTCACGTATTACCGGACACAACATGACATGCCGAATGACGGCGTGTCTCTGCGCCGCCCTGTCTTCACGTGCTGTCAGAGTCTGCACCTCCCTGGCCTGGCCTGGCGTCCCGGCCACGCCCAATGACGCGTCGCTCCCGCCCCGATCACCAGGCGGTGCCGGTGAACGAGCCGCGTGCGGAGCCGCAGCTCTACTTCTATGACGTAGTGCGTCAGACCAACGGCGTGGTCCACCTGCTGGAGAAGCAGTACGCCGACTCGCTGCTGCCGCTGGTGGTCGGCTCCAGGTGAGGCTGACGCGTTGGCGGCTGGCTGATGGCTGATACGATACCCTTCTGATGGCTGATACGACGGGTTGGGGGCGGCATATTGTTTGGTGCCTAGTCAGTTTCGAGTCGTAGTATTTTAATGAACATTGCAAAACCGGGCGTGTTTGGCTGTGCCCCATGCCTGCCAGCGACGAGTTCTGTAACTGGCCATTTCCCGTGCATGGCTGGTGAGCAAGCCCACCCACGATCGACCGCTGCCGGTGCGTTCGCCGGTGAGACCTGCGATATGTGTCTGTGATTTACCAGCTGCCAGGCGGAGGCGGCCTCGAGGAGGCGCGCGCTGCTGTCGGGTGTGCAGACCAAGCTGGACCTGGGCCTGGACCGTACGCTATCGGCTGCCTGCGCCTGGGTGCGTGTCATCCTGCAAACCGAACAGAAGAAGGCCGACTTCCGACCCGACACCGAGGAGGTGGTGCTGGCCTCGGCCACTCAGGTACCGGTACCGTACCGCGCGGGGTACACACAGCACAGGCCGTGATGGCCCGGTCGCTCGCGCACCGGCACGGTGCCGCGTGAGTCACACACGGGAGGGGGGTGGGGTGGTGCTGGTGTCGTCGACACAAGGGGGACTGGTGCTGGCCCAGACCTCTCGGATGTCGGTACCATACCGTGCAGCGTACTCACGGGAGGGTCATGTACCGCACAGGTACGACTGATGTTTGGCAGTTGACGCTTCCCAGAGCCTGTGATGTGCGTGGCTCTTCCACTGCTCAGGAAGCTAGGGTCTGCTTTTTACGGTATGGTTGGGCTATCGCCTCTGGTTTGAATGCGTGCGACCTGCACTCAGCGATCAGATTATGTGAAAGGCGTCATCGCACAGTCATGCTATGGTGCTGTGCAATTCTAGTGTTGGCTGCGGTCTTTCTGAGTAAATGGCTGTTTGCCCTGGGTTGCGTGATCGTGGCATACTGCTGCCCAATAATCGCAAATTGTTTATTGGAATGGCTCATACTAGCCACTCATTTCCGGCGGTGCCCTATCAGGAAAGCAAACGTACGCAATAGCATTGACCCGCCCCTGTGCTGCCTGCTGATGTCGTCCGCGTCGCTGCGGAGGGCGGGCGGCCGTCTCACCACGCTTGTCCTCCCCTTCCCCGCAGGCGTGCCGCAAGGTGGTTCGCTTCATCAGCAGCCAGGCGGCGCGCATCAAGGACTCGTGCGACGGCAAGAACGTGGACGCCGTGCTGACGGAACTCGGCGAACGGCTGCACCGCACCGTACTGGAGCATCTGCTGCAGTTCCAGTACAACACCACAGGTCAGTGGGCCGCGCCCACCGGCAGCCCCGGTGTCGTGCTCTGCCCAACTGGCGCCGGGCCTATGACGGCGCCGGGTCCCGTCTGTCGGCGAGGCTCGAGGATAGACTGACGCATTGTCGTCTGGCTGCTGGTCCGTGTGTTCTTTGATGCGTTTTGTACACGGCGGTTTGTGACAGCTAATGCCCATGAAATGGGAACATGACATTTGGTAATTTCTCTGACTTCGTTCAACAGAATAATAGTACTATTTTGATGGGATACTTCATCGCCCTTTAGTCCAAATGCATGCATATTGATTGACGTGCGGATCAACAGGCAGTGAAGAGTCGATATGCACGTGCAACGTGTCGGAGCCTTCGGCAAACGTGACGTATTTACATTGTTTGGCAAGTTCGATGTGCAGGTGGTACGAGGCAGTGTGCGCGGATAGCTCTATACGGCGGTGGCCTGTTCCCACCCAGAACTGCACTGATAGGCATTGTCCTCAATCGGTCGCACCTGCTCCCTCAGTCCTGTTGTTCCTTCGGGCCGTGGCTGGGATCCACAGTGGGCAGTTCGGTTGCCAACACTTGCTCCTCGGTGGCCCCTCCCTGTGAGCGGTCTGAGCCCATCGTGTGGGCCGGTGTGGGGGCGACAGTGCATTTCTCGATGCCGGACGGCGCCGATCCTCTCCTGTCCGGGTCGTCGGCGGGAGGCCGCGGCCGCGAGCTTGGCCTGCTCAGACCGCCGCCGCCGCCGTGTGATGACGCGCTCGTGCGGTGACGCGCCGGCCGCCGTCTCAGGCGCGATGGCTGCCATCTGTGACGTGAACGAGTACCGCAAGTGCGTCGAGTCCTGGAGGATCGCCTCCGTCACGGCCCTCTTCGAGACGCTGCACTCGCTCTGCAACCTGCTGCTGGTGCTGCCCGACAACCTGCGCCAGGTCTGCTCGCAAGGGTCGCTGGTGAGTGACAGCTGCTGACGGGCGGCCTTCTTACACGATAGCGGATCTTAATGGCGGCGCGGATGTTGGGAAGTTGGCCGCTCATTTTCACCGGATGCCCTCTGTTGCGGCTCGTTTCGGTTATCGGACTTATTCGCCAGATTTGCACCTTGCACGACCGTTCACGTGTGGACCTGATCACATTAGGGCTATATGTCAGTACCGCATGCGCCTATCATTCGTTAAGACTGGATCAGGTTCAGACAGTGTCTGTGTGGACTTAAGCGCCAGCCGATGTCCGTCCTGTCGTCATTGAGTTTTCTATTACCTGCACATGATCAGTTATTCCTTTGTAATGTTGTTGAAGTAACACGTCTGTTTGTGGTCGCAGGCTGGCTTGGATCGCGCGGTCCTGATGAACTTTATCCAGCTACGCGCCGACTACAAGACCTCCAAGCTGGCGCTGCAGCTCCGCTGGTAGTGCTCGCCCCCCCCCCCCCCCCCGACGCGTGCGCCGCCTCGCCGTCTGGCTGGTGTGGCGGTCTTTGAAGACCGTCGCGCCCCGGGACCCCGACCCGGATCTTCCAGCACCAGTGACGGCACCCATCCCGCGGCGGCGGTCGAGGTCGCTCTGCGCCGTGTAGGTGTAGGCGAAGGTGAACGTCCCCGCTGTGTGCGACGCCACCGGAGACGCCGGGCGGCCCCAGTCGGTGGAGAAGTCGCCTCTGCGGCTGCACGCGGCGTGTGACGCCCTGTCCACGAGCGGCGCCCTCGGTGACGGCGGGCACCCCGCCGGCGACGCGCGTGTGCCCGTGGCCGTTCCGCTGTTGGTGCCCGCTGATGTCGCCGTGCTGTTTGTCCGAGCGAGAGTCACCGGGAGTCATCGGTATCTGAACCAAGTCCGAGTTCATCGTCGGTCTTAAGAAGGGAGCTGTTCCTGGAATATGTCGAACGGCTTCTGCCGATGTGTGTCGCTTTGTGTGCGTATTTATGAATGCATTCGCGGGTTGAAGGGCAAGCTTCACAGATGGCTGACCTCGGAGTGTGGTCGTTGGCTGGCGCCGGTTGGATCGTTGTTTTGCTTACGCGAGTCTCTACGTGCTGCATATCTTTATGGCGATTCGTGTGCTATCGCATGTTGTTTCTGTTCAGAATAGCATTCGTTTTTGATATTGTACCTCTATCGCTGGAGTAAAATGTGTATCGATGTCCCTTCAGAGCTGTTATCAATATATAAAAAGGAATTGCTGAGGCTAAAAATCGTTTGCCGGACCCAGCGAAAGTCAGTATGCACCGGCATGATTTGGTCAAGCGAAGGCATGATTTGCTTCTGGCGCCAGATCTGCCGCCGCTGCCTGTCTCTATCTGAGTGAGTGCGCCGCTTCGCAGTATGAATTGCCGGGGAGCTTGTGGGGTGTTCAAAGGTCTTGTCGGTACTTAGACAAGCCTCAACTTGTTTTAAGGAGAACTTCAACGGTTAAAACTGACTGGTCCCTCTCGTGCATTTCCAGCCCATTGCACGAATATTGCATAGCTCTGAGCAATGTTAACCTCATTCAGGTTTATTTCCTGCGCTGTGTGGAGGGGCCGTGAATGAATATCTACCGAGTATTCCAGCAAGCGCTTCTAACTGAGCAGTAGCGGGTCGAAGGGAGGGACGGCGGGCTCATCAGCAGCGCTGCCAAGTTGTGTTGTGTTAGACGGCGCTCTTTCCGCATGTTCGCCGAATGACGGCGTTGGGATCCCGCCCTAAGAGCGAGCCAAGAGGACCCGACGACCAAAGAAGTAGGGATCATCACCTGAAGCCGACCTGTTTCGAACCCTCGGCTGTGGAGTGCCTCAGAGTGACGCTGTCTCGCGCACAGCTCAACCTCCTGGTGCACACGCAGCCCTGCGTGAATACGCTTCGGAGGCTGAGACGGCGGCGGAGCGGCTGAATACCACCAAGGCTCCGACATGCCTTTGCTTGTTGTCGGTTTCCGCTGCCAGTTTCCGACAGGACGACATTCGATCAGGACGACATTCGTCTGCTTGTTAGTTCGAATGGTTGCTGAGATGGTTATAGGGAAATGTATATTATAGGTAAAGCTATTGGTACCTGCACAAACGTGCGTGATTTTTACCCAGTGTCGCTTTTAAGTTTGTTTTCTCAATGGAATCGCAGACTGACGACTCGTTTTGGTGTTTTGTCGACGCTGCTACTGCCCACCTGAAGCGCTGTGCATGAAGATAGGGCGTACCCACGAAGCCGCGGCCCGCGGCAACCCGTGGTCCAGTGTGAGAAGAGTAAGATGGGGCGTACCCACGAAGCCGCGGCCCGCGGCAACCCGTGGTCCAGTGTGAGAAGAGTAAGATGGGTCGTGCCCACGAGACCGTGGTCCGCGGCGATTCGTGGTTCAGTGTGAGAAGAGTAAGATGGGGCATACCCACGAGGCCGTGGCCCGTGGCGACCCGTGGTTCATTGTGAGAAGAGTAAGATCGGACGCGGATTCGTAGTCATGTTTAAGGCTCCAGATTATGAAAAAGAGACGGCAGTCAATTATCGCTGTGCATCTGATCACCTGTATTGTTATCGCAGTTGTTATGATCGTGCCGGGGACTGTTGACGCACTAGATGAACGTGTCAGCCTCTTTCAAGCGATTTGGATGCTGGTGTGCAGTTGCCACGGTTCATGGGTGTCACGCTTCTACTCCTGTAACCAGGGGCATGGGTATGAGCTTTAGGACTTGACTGAGTCCAGGTCCTGGTGTCGCGAGCCTGAGTTAAGGTCTCGAGTCCACCTTAGATTGCGTGAACCGAGTGCGAGTTTGGACATTCGCTCGGCTCATAATACGAGTCCGAGTCCATGGCTGTTTAATCCAATGCTGTCAGTTTAGAAGTCGAGTCAGAGTATGATTCCGTGTCTGAATGCTGAGGTCTTCAGCAGTCAGAAGCCTAATTTTGGTGTATGATCAAACAACGCAGAGATATTGGGTAAAGCACAGATTGGTATCAAACACGATCTTACCAGAAATAGAACACGCGCAGCGAAGTGTCGTGCCAGATTATCGGGGTAGAAATTGCCAAGGACACAAATGAAAACGAGGCTAAATTAAGTGTAGGGCGATCTCACTTTACTCGAGCTGACTAGGCTTCGAACCGCAGCTTCTCGATGTCTCGCCGAGCCAGCATCTGCAATGTCCGTGAAGTTAGCGATTTATTCAGCGATTTTTTTCAGCGACGAGTTCCGATTTCCCTGAAAAAGGGTGTTGAGGTCAGTCGTGGCATGAAAACACCAAAGATGGCTCTTACTTTGCAATGACATGTGACCTTGAAGGACAAAAGCTGGGTCAAAGGACAGGGAACTCGACATCACCCAAAAACCACTGGCCGATATGAGAACTGTGAGCATCAAAATATTCACAAGCGCAAGAGCTGGCGTCCGTCAAAAAGTTTTAGCCTCTCAAGGTCACCCTTCAAGGTCAAAGACGGGCTCAAGGGACGGGAAACTCCATATCACCCAAAAATTACCGGCCGATTTTTAACTTACAAGCATCAGAATATTAACCACAGAAAGAACTAGCGTCTGTCAAAAAGTCCTGACCATTCAAGGTCATCCTTCAGGGCCAAACGTGAGCTCAGAGGACGAGGAGCTCCATATCATCCAAAGATCACCGGTCAATTTAAGCTTGCATGCATCATGATATTCACTACAGAAACATGTAGTGTCCGTCAAAAAGTCCTGGCCTCTCGAGGTCATTCTTCAAGGTCTAGCGCAGCTCAAAGG